GATAAACTTCAGAGTTCAAAAGTCATCATTCATTTTTATTACAAAACTGGTCAAGCACTATCGAACTTATAAAAAAATGTCTGAGACTGTGGAAAGGCTAGCTCTCAGTATATCACCTACCCCCCCCCCCAGATTAATAAACCCTTAAATATCTTGATAGGAATTCTATAAATTGAGTCATCTAAAGGGCAGGATCAAGCTATAGCTATTCAGAACATATTAGAGTATTATGAGCTCACTGATCAAACCATTGGTTGTAGTGCAGATACAACAGCCTCTAATACTGGAAAATACAAGGGTCAATTAAGTTCCTGGTGGATCATGTGCTTAAAAGACCTGTGCTATGGCTGCTATGTAGGTAATTAAATATTTTGATAAAAAAATTTAAAAGTTTGTATATAAGTATTTATATAAGTATATATATATACATATATATATATATATATATATATATATATATATATATATATATATATATATATATATATATATATATATATATATATATATATATATATATATATATATATATATATATATATATATATATATAAGTTGTTGAAGTAAGAGGTAGATTTTGGTGATTCCAGACAATCTGGCAACTTAGGAGTTGAACAAGATCATAAAGTTTAAGAACCTTATAAGTAAGATAAAATACATTAGGATTGAACTTCTAATTCTGAAAATATATATTTCTTGTTTTGAAGATGAGATATTCTTGTAACAGCTTGTTGTTGGGATTGTCCCCATATTTGACAAGCATTCATATATGAGAGTCAAAAATGGCATGGTATATGTTTAAGTGTGTTTCCAGATTGACATACATGGTAAACTTTAGCCAGCATTTCATTTGATCTGATTAACTTTCTGGCTAAATGGCCGTCCATAAATTACGTCACGCAATTTTTGACTGTTTTTAACCTCCTCCATGACACAACACCGTAACTCTTTAGTAACGAGTTCCGTATGGAGTTGTCACAAAACCACTCTTCTTTCTCCCCCCCCCGTCTTCTCTTAGAGCGTGGACAACCTTTAAGTCTTTAAGATGGAATACAAAGGAAAGGTTTGATTGAGTTTGCAGGATTGATTTTCTGTCCATTTAATCTAAAATTTAGTTGGATTTGTATATAACCAGTTTGTTATCGCTACAGTTGAGAGAAAGCTTTTTTGAACAAAACCACTGAACTAAATTGGCAAGATTATGGTTAATGTGCTTGTAAATTTTTTTAAAGATTTGTTGGTAATGAGCAGGTTAGCAGGTTAGTATCATAAGAGGCATGGTGAGCGGGAAAAGAGGCTTTAAAAATGTTGTTATATTTGTGTTGCCAGAGTTTCAAAAATTGATTTTAGAAGACAAATCTACCGAGGACAAGGTAAAGTAAATGGAATTCTAGCAGTTACTAGGAATGTGTTAGTTTTCGTATGTGTTTATTTTTCTCTTTACTTTTTAGCAGCAGCAAAAAAAATTTTTTTTTGTAAATAAATACATACAAAAACATTATTGTTTCACCTAATTTAATGTCAGTCGAGAGACTAAATGATTACTACTTAAGAAAAAAATCAGACCAGCTCAACAAAGGCTTAGACTCTGCAACTCCTTTTTGATATGCAATCCGTGTCAATAAAGTTGTATGGTTAAAAAAAAACTCAAAGCGAACCAGTTCGTTTGATTTAAAATGTATGTATAAGATGTCACAGCTCTTATTACTGATGTGGACGAACTTAAACGTGAATGTTTTTTTATAAAACCAAATATAGCTTGAATCAGCGAGACCGTGGACCAAGAAGATGTGGACTTATTTTACATGGTAATTATTTAAACACGAATTTAAAAATAATCCTAAGTTGGTGTATTTCAACAAGAAAATAAAATCAATAAATCATGATACAGTATTTTACTTCTTGGAAAATAAATTTTAAGTATTTATAGTTTAATAAGTATAAATTAAATAAAACAAAAATAATTATTAAACTTTATTTTAAATTCAAAAGTAAAAAAAAAACTATTTTGTAAGTAAGACTGTGGGTTTAGTAAAACTATGAATTTAGAGCCTATATATACATATATATATTTATATAAAAGTATATATATATATATATATATATATATATATATATATATATATATATATATATATATATATATATATATATATATATATATATATATATATACATTCAAACACACACACATGTGTGTATGTATGTATATACCTTTCACTTATTATATAAGTAAAAAAGAAATCGATTACTTTTTGATGGAACCTTGTAGTATATCTCATACTAAACGTAAGTAATGGACGTCAAAAGTAACAAAACACGACAAATTTTACTACTAAAATGTAACTTTTACGTTTCTATGTCATTATTTGACTTCAGAAGCTTATTTAAAAAAATTTAGAAAAATTTCTCCAGTAAAATGTTCAAGTTTTACATATACTAATAATGCCATGCACGACAGATATATAGGAGTAGCGATAGTAGGTCAATAAATGTTTTAACAAAAAATAACCATAGCGTTTAACATAATATGCATATTATGCAATGAGATGTTGTATTTCTACAAAATAACCGGCATACGGGTTATTTTATGTAGCTGAATTTTTAGTAGCTTTGACATTTTTTTATTTATTTTGTTATAGTTAACATTAATTACTTTTATTTTACACTTTTTTAAAAAACCTTTTCATCTTTGAATTACCACGGTTGTACATCAATTTATATAATTTGAGTATTTAAGACAAATATTGTTTATAATCTTTAAAATATTTTGTGTTCAAATCTTTTTTTATTCATTGATACTAGCTTTTTGAAATTCAATTTATGGTATTAAAAAAGGCTCAGCACTCCTTAAGTACAGAATTTCCCATAGCGAACAGACATAATGCCGAAATAGTTTCTTTTAAAAAAACGTAGATAGATAGATTAATTTAAAAATGTCAAACAAAAAAATATATTTAAGTGCAAAATATAAAAGTTGTTTTTTACGACGAATTAATGGGAATACTTTATCAAAATTTTGTAAAAAAAAATTTCTTCTATTTTTTATAATGGTTATACAAGTTTTATTTCCTTTGTTATTTTGTTATCAATTAAGAGCCGAGGATATTATGCAAATTACAAATTACATATACATTACTTTGGAAGGCAAAATACCTAGTCAATAAATAAAATATTTTTGGTCAAGCTAATTAAAAAAAATATCATAATTAACTTGACTTACTATATATTCTTTAAAATAGTTTTGTAGAAAATTATAAATTGTAACACGATTTTCAGTGATAAGATAAAAATAAGGTCTTTTTCTTGCTCCGCCCAGTTGTAAATTTACGTGGATTGTAAAAGGCGGGTGAATAAAAAAAGTAACTGCTCAAAGCAATTACTTTGAGTAAAAGCTAAAAAGTAAATGCTCACGACAAACGCAAATGCTCAAAAATACGTGAATAAGGTTTTGGCTTTTGCTCACAAGCAATCAGTTCTGCTAAGGAGTAAATGCTTTATGCCGTTACCTATCAAAATCATTTGTTTTTACTTCTATGCTTTAAAATGGCTGCTTTTAGTGTATATATATATATATATATATATATATATATATATATATATATATATATATATATATATATATATATATATATATATATATATATATATATATATATATATATATATATATATATATATATATATAAATGTATATATATATATATATATGCTCGTAAAATTAGAAGCAATTGCTTGGCGTATTTTGAGTGATAGCTTTTTTATCCACGCGCTGTTTTTATATGTAAACAGTTGTTCAGAGTAAAAGCTTTCACACAAAAATCGCTCAAAATTTTTATTCACGTTAAATTGAGCAATTACTCCAAAAACGATGAGTAAAAGCTATACTCAAAAAATACTTTAAGTTACATTTATGTGCATTTTTGAGTTTATGAAAATTTTCATATTTTTTTGAATATGAAAATGAAGATCTTTTAAATGTTGTTTTCATTTTACTACTTAACATGAGTTTTCATTATTGTTTTAAAAATTGATATCAAGACGCAGTCATTGTTTTTTAAAAAATCTAAATTTGTGTATTCAGTACATTACTTCAAGCTGATATAATGTGAATATATAAAGTTTTTTTCGTTGTTATTGTTTTCCAAAGCTTTGAATTTAATTGTTCACAGATTTTCTTTCTTATCTGTAATTACTTCAACTGAAGCTACCGTCATATTAACTATCATCAGTTATATCATCATATATATATATATATATATATATATATATATATATATATATATATATATATATATATATATATATATATATATATATATATATATATATATATATATATATATATATATATATATATATATATATATATATATATATATATATATATATATATATACACACATATATATATATATGTATATGCATATATATGCATATAAATAATATTTAAATTTTTACATTACAAATACAGTTTTAAATTTTTTAGTTATACAATGATATAAACATAATTTTTAAAAAAATATGTGTTCAATAAATGTTGTATAAAAAAACTATAATTAACTTATTTAACTTAATTAAACATTTCAAAACTTATTATTATTTTAATTATAATCTTGTACTTATGAGAATCAAAATATTATAAAATGTTAACAGTATAAAAATGCCTATAAACATAAATGACATAAATGGTAAAATTTTCACATTTAATTTTTTTGTAACTTAATTTAACTTAATAATTTGCTCACATGACTGCGTATATACAAAAATATTTAAGTTTTAAGACATGTTTTGTGATTAGTTATAAAAAGTTTTTCGTTAAAATTCGAAGTTTGATTGATTTAACATAGTTTAGCATATTTTATGCGCATAATTATTTATTTAAGAAATTATGCTTAAAAATTGTCAATCATCATTGTTTAACGGTAAAATATAAACAATAAACGAACCTTTTATGGAGAGATGAGTTAAAATTGTTCGTTTAAAAGGAGTCAGTTTAGGGTTAGGCTTACGTTTACTAAGAGAAGACGTCTAAGAACAACTTGAAAAGAGGATTGTTTTTTTTTTTAATATAACATTTTTTTAGTAAACTAACTTAAAATGTCTTCGAGTAAGAAAACCAAGAAGGGAACTAGCAAGAAAAGAGCCCAAAGAGCTACTTCAAATGTCTTTGCTATGTTCGATCAGTCACAAATTCAAGAATTTAAAGAGGCATTTAACATGATTGATCAAAATCGTGATGGTTTCATTGATAAAGAAGATCTTCATGATATGCTAGCATCTCTTGGTAAAGACCCACCAGATTCTTATCTTGAGGAAATGATGAAAGAGGCTCCAGGACCCATCAATTTTACAATGTTTTTAACTTTATTTGGTGAAAAATTAAACGGCACTGATCCTGAAGATGTGATAAAAAATGCGTTTGGATGTTTCGATGCGGATCAATTGGGAACTATTCAAGAAGATTATCTAAGGGAACTTCTAATGACCATGGGAGACAGGTATTAATCACTTTAGGAAATACTTTTTAATCATTTTTTTATGTATTTTTCAACGCCTAGGTAGGTTCTCTCTCTTAAGATCAATTTGAATAAGTACTTTGCAACAACAATTACATCTTTATTTATTAAAGCTCTACCAACTTTAATAGAGTTTAATTTAAATTGTAAAATAGATGACAGATTCATTAGTAAATTTTAGTTTATGGTTTTATACATAGGTGATTATATGAAAGTACTAATTGTATAAAGTTCTGTGACTATAGTTTTTATTTTCAATGGAGCTGTCATAGTTTTTAGCTATGAGCTTATTATTATATGAACAATAAAGTTTTTTTTATTATTAATATGTGCAGTAAGTAAATCTCTTTGAACCAATGTTTGGAATGGATTCGCTCAAGAGGAATTAAAGAAAGCTAACAAATTAATTTTCTAAAGAAGTTAAATTACTTTTTGGAAAGTAACATTTGTCGATGAAGCAAATAATAAAAACAAATTACACATGATGATAATATTAAAATCTGATATAAAAATATCTACTAAACTAATTAAAATTTTTAATATTAATTATAAAAGGCATATAAATATTAAATCTCTCTTCTTTTTTTTTTTTCATGTGTTTTAGATATCCTTTGTAACGTTGTTGTTGTTGTTATAGTTATATTTATTTTATCTATTATCTTTATTAGGTCTTTAGATAGTTATTATTAGTTTTAATAAGTTTAGTTCAAAAATCAGTAACAATTTTGTTTATCGAATTTCAGTACCATGAATAATACTAGTAAGACATTATTTTCAACCTAATTAAAAAGCTTTTCAAAAACTGTATAAATAAATCAGTTCTAATGGAATATTGAACTTTTATTTTTCAGTTTTATTGTCATAATTTTCCCTTAATTTTTTATTTATATCATAAAAGTTATTTTAAAAAGACTTTTATAATAGTAGTAAAAAATTAGAACAAAATATTGTTAAAAATTTAACAGATGTTATTTGGTTTTTTTATTTTGAATTCAAACTTTTAGTTTTAATATTTATTTTTCTCGCACTTTTTTATAGATTTACAGAACTTGAATGTGACGAGATGTTTAATGGTGCACCTATTAAAGATGGAAAATTCAATTATATTGAATTCACGAGAATCATTAAACACGGATCCAAAGAGGAATAAACATTGTTAATAAATGTAGCTTGTTCATATTTCGAAAATAATTGGTTTGATCTTGCACCATCATTAACTATTTGATGCCAATACCTGTGTGTTGCACTATTAGATAGCTAGACATGAACAAACTATAAACAATTTATTGATATATTGATGTCTGGTACTAATGTTATATTTCTCATTTGTTTTTATCCATGGTTACTATTTTCTAATGGAAATAAATATTGAATAAAATTTTTTGTAGTTCTTAATGTGAATTGATGGTTGCAAGATGAAAGCTTTTATTAGGACTACAAAATTTTTGATGGTTATTATTTTTTTTTTTTTTTTTTGTAAATTGTATATTTCATGTAAATGATTTTTTAAACGTGCTGCAAATACCAAAACTAAAACTGTTTTTTTTATTGCACACACACACACACACACACACACACGCAAGTTTTACATTGCAATTACCCTGGGTTACATTTAGTCATTTGTAATTTAAAACTTTAAGCCCCTAAGAGTTTTTTTACTTAGTTGTTTACAATTTGAGACCAAAACATTGAAAAAAAACTTTAACTTTTAAAAAACGAAGTTTGTTTACACGCCCCAAGCAATTGCAATCAATTATGTATCATGCAAACACACTATTTACATAGGATTGAAAATGGTGATTATTGCAATGTTTTTCAAACTTTTTTCAACTTTATATATTATTTATTTTATATATATATATATATATATATATATATATATATATATATATATATATATATATATATATATATATATATATATATATATATATATATATTTATATGTGTATGTGTATATATATATATGTGTGTGTGTGTGTGTGTGTGTGTGTGTGTGTGTGTGTGTGTGTGTGTGTGTGTGTGTGTGTGTGATATATATATATATATATATATATATATATATATATATATATATATATATATATATATATATATGTATATGTATATATATATATACTAATACACTTACCTGGTAGTCTAAAAATATTTCAATAAAGTGTGGCTAAAAATCAAACACAAAAAAGCAAGACTAGATGAAATTATTTTGAGAAAGACAGTTCTTTTAATTAAGTCCCTACCTGAACCGAAATTCTAAGTAAATTATTATGCACTTTGCCACGCATATACGGAAAAAAAAACGTCAATGTATAGCATGCTTAGACTTGAGTAAAAATAAAAGTTAAAGAAATTGAAAATAAACAAATAATTAAAAACTAACTCTATATAGAAATAAGAAAGACTAATCATTTTTTAAACAATTAATTAAAAGTGGCAATGGTTAGGGGTTATGGTTAATGATTTTTTTTTTAATAAAAGCTCCCTTAAAATAGTTTACGGGAGCAATTTACGCCTATTGCAAAAATATAATTGTTTCTTTCAATAGTATAATTATCATTGTTACTAAAATGAAAATGCGAAGTCATTTTTATAAAAAAAATGTAAATTAATTTAATATTAAGCTGCAATGCTTTTTAAAAGGTGCGGTTGTTCCAAAAAAAGAAGAAAAAAAAGAGCTCCGATTAAAATGCACATGCTTTTGATTAGATTGGACTAACTGATAAAATATGAAGTTATTACACCTTAAATTATTGCATAAAAATTTTTGTTTTATGTAATGAATTATATATTTTATACATTATTTACTTTAATATATCGTTCACTTTTATTGTGGAGAATTTAATTGTTGTAATAAGCCTGAATTCTATTACAATAAGAAAATATAAAAAAACTTTAATAAGCTGTTGAAACTTTTAAAGCTCTTTTTCAAATTTTTTTTATCAAATAAGTAATATTGTTAACAAATGAATGAATAGCTAGTGTGAAAACCCAAAAATATACGGTCGTCTAGAGAATATTTTCACGACGCAATAAAAGACGTTAGTTATGAATATATTCTTGTAATATTAACGTTAAAAACATATGCTTGTAACAAGTATAAAACTAAATTTTGTATTTAATAAGCAATTTTTTAAAGATATTTTTAAAGTACTATCTTTAAAAAATTGCTTATTAAATACAAAATTTAGTTTTATAAACTTCTTCACTTTTTTATAAACTTCTATATATAACAATGATTAGATATATATACAAAATAATAACAATAATAATAAAGTACCAATAATATAAAGAATATTATAATACAATACAAATTGTATATACAAATCATAGATGATAATTAGATATAATAATAACATAAAATGTAACATTAATAACACGATAATAAATAAATATAAGGTAGGTAAATAATAAATAAAGTAAAAAACAAACCACTTGTTCGTTAAAGAGATTATATATTGAAGACAACTACAGTACAGAGAGAAATTATAAAGAATATATATATATATATATATATATATATATATATATATATATATATATATATATATATATATATATATATATATATATATCATACTAGTATGATATATATCTAATCATTGTTATATATAGAAGTTTATAAAAAAGTGGCGGGATGGTTTATTCTTTATAAAAAGGTGACGGATTGGCATCCCGCCCCACTTTATGAAATCATTAGCAAGTTTGCCCTTTTAATTTGAAGCAAATTCAGTAATGATGTCAACAAAATTCAAGGATGTAGACCACTTTATGTTTGATTAAAATTATAGCCAAACTAGACAAACGTTCTTGGCCTAAGTTTACGAAACTTTTTCACACGTAGCAACTTTGGCTAGTATGGTGAGGAAGATGCAAATACCAACTGCTGTGTTAGAATAAGCATCAGTCAATGAATGTTCATAAATGAGCTGCAAAATAACAGTTGAGAAATTTTTTTTAAAGTTTTTCATAATTACAGCAGTTTGATTTTTAAAACTTTTAAAGAATAAAGCTCACAGAGGAATTCGAAATTGGTGGATACAGCAGATATAGCCTTAAACCACCACTTAATTTATGTAATAATGCTGTCAAATCTGCAACTTAATTTATGTAATAATGCTGTCAAACCTGCAGGTTTCATCATTGATGTGAGTATACCTGATTATTTGAGTCATTTGCTCCTTGGGAGGAGATGCAGTCGAACAAAACAAAATAGTATTTAGTCTATTTGTTTTTTGATGATATTTCTGACTTTCTGCCTGAGTATCTCAATTAGGTCATTTTGAATTCAAGGAGAAAAGTAGGACGTTGTGGTTTTCTTTGCTTTAACAGATGCAATGTGTTCAGCCACTAAAGGACAATTGAATCAATCAAGTTTAGAAAAATTCCACTATATTGTTGACCAATGACTATATATATATATATATATATATATATATATATATATATATATATATATATATATATATATATATATATATATATATATATATATATATATATATATATATATATATATATATACATAAATATATATATATATATATATATATATATATATATATATATATATATATATATATATATATATATATATATATATATATATATATATATATATTTAATATGTAAGTTGATTTTAATAAAAAGGCAGCGTATAACTATTTTTAAATATATTTTGATGTAAAAATATATCAACAATATTTCGCTGACCTATTGTGGTCAGCGTCATCAGGTAATAATAAAAATAATGAATGGATTTTATGAGTTTCAAATACACCGTAAGGATGCGATAACAAATGTTCAAATAAAACCAAACTCCAACATCAACCCGAGCATAACCATTGGCGTCTTTAAAGGTTTTTTATGTCGAGCAAAACAAATCTGCTCTCAAAAATATCTCTCACAAGAAATTGATTTCCTCAAAAATACATTTTTTGAAAACGGCTATAATAAAAATAATCTTATTAAAATAACCAAAAACTATTTAGACGGCTTTTCAAAAAATACTACATCTAATCAGTTAGATCAAAAGTTTGTTAAACTACCTTGGATACCTATTATTGGCCCAAAACTCCGAAGAGAATTTAAAAAACAAAACATCAGAGTTATATTTACTTCAGCTCCTAGTTTAAGTAATATATTATGCAACAACAAAACTAAACTACCTCCGAACTCAAATCCGGGGGTTTACCAACTTAAATGCTCATGCGGAAATATATATATTGGTGAGACCAAAAAGAAAATCATTTCAAGAAGTGCAGAACACCAAAGAGCTTGCAAAAATCAAAAATGGTCGAGTTCAGGAGCCACGGAACATTCCAAAACATGCCGTGGTAACTTTGATTGGCTAAATCCTAAGACCTTGGCAGTCGTTCAAGAATACAAGATACGAAAAAATAGAGAATCTCTGGAGATTAACAAAGCGAAAGTTCGATGTGAGATAGGTATTGGGGAAGGTGTTCTAAATCGAGATGACGGGGATAAGGTTAAAACAAGAACTTGGGGACCCATTTTGACAAAAATTTAACTGACGTCATTATTATATTTAACTGGTTTTTATATTTGACGCTTTTTAATGTCTTCTTTTTAAACGGTTTGTTTTTATGTTATTTTGTAACGTTTTTTATTATTACCTGATGACGCTGACCACAATAGGTCAGCGAAACATCGTTGATATATTTTTACATCAAAATATATTTAAAAATAGTTATACGCTGCCTTTTTATTAAAATCAACTTACATATTAAATATATATATATATATATCGTATAACAAGAAATGACTTTTAAAGATATATATATATATATATATATATATATATATATATATATATATATATATATATATATATATATATATATATATATATATATATATATATATATATATATATATATATATATATATATATATATATATATATATATATATATATATATATATATAGTGCCCCGAAGGGCGATATTTTTTGTACAGAGCAGAACTGCATCAACAATCACTTTCGAGATGTCTTTCAACTTTTTCTTCTCCTTATTGATAATTTTCAACTTTTTATCTCTCCATTAATAAATATTCATCTCTCGATTGATAACTTTTCACATCTCCATTAATAACTTTTCATATCTCCATTCATAACTTTTAATTTCTCCAATGACAACTCTGCAGAATAGAATTCATGGTCTTTCTTTCTTTAAGGTTCTTAAAGATAACTTTTAATCTCTCCATTAATAACTTTTTCATCTCCCCATTGATAACTTTTCATCTCTTCATTAATAACTTTTGATCTCTCTATTGATAACTTTTTTATCTTCCCATTGATAACTTTTCAATTCTCCATTGATAACTTTTCATCTCTGCATTAACAACTTTTCATCTCTTTATTGATAACTTTTTCATCTCTCTATTGATAACTTTTCATCTCTCTATTGTTAATTTTTCATCTCTCTATTGATAACTTTTCGTCTCTCCATTAATAACTTTCCATCTCAACATCGATAACTTTTTCATATCTTCATTGATAACTTTTCATCTCTCCATTGATAATTCTGCAGATCAGAATTCATGGTCTTTCCTTCTTTTTTATTACTGTACAGCAACCAATAGAAAACAAATTTAATCACTATTGTAATGATTTTTTTTGTACCAGTTTGTGCTAAATTTCTTCATTAAATGTTTTAATAAAGATAATTTGTGACTTCTATGACTGAACTTAACTACATCGATTATTTAATCGATTATAAATTGATTATTTAATCGATTATTATTTGTTTTATTATTTATTGGCCTAAACATCAAATATTTATTTGTTTTTAAAAAAAAAACTTTAACTACACAACAAAAGTTTGAAATTTGAAAGAGTAGACCTTACAAATTATTTTAAATGTAATACATTTGTTATTCTTTTCACGGCAGAAACAGCAGATGATTTTATGAGAAATTATATGATCTTGTTTAAAATGATATATTTAATATATATAATTATATATCTATAATGAAAGAAAAGTTAATCGATCAAAATTATAAATATAAAAAAAAAGTTGTTTAATCAACTTGGAGCATTCTTATGATCTTTATGCATAAATAAAAACCTTAGACTTTAAAAATTTGGTGTATGACCAGTTATTTTTTGATAAACTTCCAACAACATATTTAGTGAAGTTGTAATCTTTCTCTAAGATAGTTATGATCAAATTACATATAATTAATGTATGTAGAGCTATAAAATTGTTTTTTTATTGGTTGATAACAACGGAATCAAACATGAAAAGCGTGATTATTTAGTGTGATACCCAGTGGCGTGGTGAAGGGCCCGCAAGGCTTGTAACTACGAGAGGAAGGGGGGGGGGGCAAAGTTATTAGAAGTCTCAAAGCAACCAACTTAAAAATTTTTTTTTAAAAGTTGACCCTGTAAAAAATAATATTCATACAACATTTAACAAACTATTGTTGTGTAGCTAAGAAATCTAAACTTTTTTTAAGAATAATTTTTAGCTTTAATATAGTTTAATAGTTTGTTAAAACTTTCAAAACGGAAAAATGTAAAAAGTATTTCCGGTTTGCTCAAATTTTTAACATTAACAGGAAATTAATAAAAAGCTGTGGTAAAGGTTTAGGAATAAGATGCGAAAATAGAGTTACAGGCTATAATCCATACACCGACTGAATTAGAGAGAAATTGCAAAGAAGAAAAGCTACATAGCTATTTGCAAAGAAGCTAAAAGCTACTGAGAGTTTCCGGCAACAATATGGTTGAATTCGTAGAAACTTTCCGCACAAACTTAATTTCCGCGTTTTACTTGCGGATAAATTTCACAATTCTGCATTTTAATCGTGTAACGATAACATATTCTTACGTAAGTTGTTATTGTGACGTAAGTTACCCAACAGCAAAAGGATCTTTCATCACACTAAAATAAATTAAAAGGCATTAAAGGACAACGACGGTGCAAGATCGTTGATCCATGCTATGTTTATTTGTTATTGAAGAAAAAAAAGTAGCTCAATTAAATCTAAAAGATGTTGCAGACCAATTTACAGCTATGAAAGAATAAAAAAAACACTTTCATTAGATTTTTAAAATATAGATTCTTACATAGGTTTCAATGTCATTAAAGTAAAATTGTATTTAAGAATAAAGTGCTTGTTTTCCATTATAATATTTTTTTCAAGAAAAAGGCATAAGAGTAATTTAGGGGTCCGGATTAAAAATTTGTAGTTAGGCCAAGTTTTGTCGCTACTCGCGATGCCAGCACACATAATTATAAATGGGCGGATCTTTTAGGTAATTATGGTATAAAGAGTGTTTTGATTATTTTAAAATTTATATAAAATATAATTTGGAAAAATTTCTCCAAAAAACACAAACCTGCACCCTATATCGCCAAAATTTTTGAAACTTGGCACAAATGTTTATTGACATATGTTAGGAAAGATTGTAATTTTTTTTTCATAAAATTCCTTACCGTTTATAATTTACAGCAATTTGAAGTTTCCTTGATTTTGACTAAAAACTGAGGGGGGAAAAGTGCCGAAAATCATTCCATTTACTTTCACCTTAATATGGTGCTTGTAGTGATGCCACAATTCTGAAACTTTGTACCAAAAGAGTTTAAAACCTGTTAAATCCGAAAAATATAGTTTTTTATATGTCAAAACAAATGTAGCTTATTTTAAGATCCATAAAATACACTTTATAACGCCGAGAAAAAAGGGCATTGACAATTATAGCTATAAAAAAAATCTGACTGATGTAAAAAAAATTTAATTTCGATTTTCTTAAAAATAAGATCAACACCTACTTTTCGAACCAATTTTGTTTTGGCCTTATATTTATTTGAGAAATTATTTATTGATGTTTGATATAGACACAAAATTTTTTAATATTTTTTAAATTAGACACAATATAACACCACCTTTTACCAATCAATCAAATTAGAAACTAAAAATTTAGTGACTTTATTATCTTTTTCATTTTCATATGATATTTACAACAAAATTAAATATTCACATTATTTACAAGTTAGTTCACAAAAAATAATATTTAAAAAAAGAATGGATAAGACATAATAGACTCATAAATATAAAAATCTCTACTTCCTTAGGAAAATAATTTTTTTTAAGTCCTCTTTGGCTAAATAGTAGCAAAGTCCTGTTTTTGTTATCGGTACCTCAACTTTGCAAATAATGTGGACATCAGGAATCCAGCATTGGCTTTCCTTTGGTGGCCATTTAAACAACCGTGCAGGACTATTAGGACACATAAATTTTACAAGCACATCTTTTTCTTCTAAATTAATATCTTCAATGACTCCTATCCACCACTTTTGCTCATAGGAAACACAGGCAACCTGGTACTAGGTTTACAGTTGTTATCTGGATATTTCCAAAGTCATGAATTAAAGCAAATTCTTCATCAACACTGCATAGCTTAGTATCTACCTAAACAAAATAGTAACATGCAATTATTCTGTTTTACTTATCAAACATGTTTTATTAAATGCATAAATAGCAAATGCAGAGGAAATAAAATAAAATACAAATATTTTTGATGATTCCGCAAAAACCTAATATCTATTTGAGTTTATCAATAAAAGTTATGCGTGTATTTTAAAATATGGTAAAAGGTATAATTAAAAAATAATAATTTACCTTTTAATGGCCAAGTGTTACAAACTGATGGTAACTACGTGTTCCAGGTATTGTATTAGCAGTATCCAATCGTTCTTTAAGAGCGGTTCTCATCAAAGTTAAATCTTCTGATGAAATATATATGAAATTTATGCCTTCAATACAATAGGATTTGTGCTTGAGAATGCCTTCTTTTTTGAAATAAATAATCACTGGATGAAGTGAACATTGTAAATTTGTCCAATGAAAACTTTGCACTTCATCCTGAACTACAAATTTATAGTTTTCTGAAAAATCACCCAGAAATAATGCTGTTACCTCATTCATATCTTCCTTTCTTGATCTCAGGTATAACGCTTGACTCTTTGCTAAATACCAATGTGGTGCAAGTTTTTCCAGTTTTCTACATACTAGTTCAATGTATTCAAACACTGGCTCTTTATTATGTGTCAAGTTTGACCTATTTGTTGTTTTCCATTGATCAAATTCAATCTCATCATCATCTTCAAATTCTCAAAGTATATCATAAAGTTTTTCAACCAATGCATTTATAGTTGCTGAGCGTTTTTCACATTTTCTCATCATACAGTCTTTATTAGTTATATCACAGACAATATAAGGTAACAATTCTTTGTATGTCACACCAAGTGGATGTAAAAGCAGTTTCAAACTCTGATGAATAGCACAGACGCATACAGAATGTGTTCGTGAGGCACCAACAGTAATACACCATTTAGGTCGCAAGGTGCAAAACCTTGAAAATCCTATTTTTATTTCTGGGTTCTTGGTTTTAAAGGCAACAAACAACTCCTTTAAATTATACAAGAGCAAACGTTTTTGCATGTGGACATTTTTCTTTATGCTTACATAGTCCTTTTTACCAGGCATTATACGGCTATGTTCATCGCCTTTGTAAAAGGTCTTGACCAGTTGAACTGTTACACAGGAAGAGCTTTTCCTAATTTAGGATTAGGCATGGTTAAAATACCTTTTTCTAATGTTTACTTATGTGCATTTCGAGCTACATAGTTTGTTACATGCAATGTTTCAGATACCTTTTTTATTGACCAGTCTGTTGGAGCAAGTGTCACAAGTTGTACTTTTTTTGATGTTGATGTAGACTCTGCAATTTTGTTAGTTAACAATACCATCATGTTATCAAACAAGTTTGCTTTTTCCATATACTCATTATTAAAACTTTCTTCTGATATATTAAGGGAAATGGCTACCTTTTTTTTAATGGAGGTTGTTAATGCTGTCAATTTTCGTTTACCTTCTCTGATTTTACCTGACTTGTGCAATCCTTTGATCTTAATTTGAGATACTCTGGCAGATGCAAAGTGTGTATCTACACTTTCTTTTTTATTTTGAATGGATCTTTCATTAACAATATCAAAATCTTTATCATTTTTATTTTCACTAATACTTTTTGATAAACATGTCATAACTTTACTTCGACAGGTTGGACAGTTTTTTTCCAGGTATAAGATTTAAACCTATGGTTTCTGCTTCTAACACAGTATGCATTGTAATCACACGTAGATATGCATAAAAAGAAAGTAATTACATTACTTAAATAAAATTATATTTAGTTATCTTTTACTTTTACACAACTTTTTGTAATTACATTACAAAAAGTTGTGTAAAAGTAAAAGATAACTAAATATAATTTTATTTAGTTATGTTACTTAACATAGTAATGTTAATTAGACATTATTATATCATTTTATTACTTTTTTTATTGATGATAATAAATGTTTTATTACAACAAAACAATCAACAACAAAAGTTACATAATATTAAATTTAATGAAATGGCATTTTTATTATGTAATGAAAGTAAAAAGAAACAAATTTATAAAATGTTCAACTATGTTTTGTAATAACTTTGTAAATTTTTTACAAAGCTGTTACAAAACAAAAATAATTGTATTTGTATTCAAAATATATTTACAATTTTTTTTTTTTTTTGCAAAATATCTTTAGAAAAATTGAAAAAATAAAACATCAATAACTCCTTGATAAAACATAAGGCCAAATAAAAATTGGTTTGCAAAGTAGATATATGTTTAATATTTAAAATAACGAAAACCAAAACTTTTTATCATTAGTCAGATTTTTTCTAGAACTATAGTTGTCAATGGCCTTTTTTATTGTCATTAATAAGTGCGTTTTGTGGATCTAAAAATAAACTATATTTTATTGTTTTGAGAGATATAAGTTTATGATTTTCAGATTCAGCAGGTTTTAAACTCCTTTGCTACCAAGTTTTAGCTTTGCAACATTACTACAAGTTTGTTAAAAGAATAATGGTAAATTGACATACTTCCGGCTTTATCCCCCCTCTTTTTTCAGTCAAAAAATAACTAACTTCAAGTTGCTGTAAATCTTAAAGGATTGAGAATTTTTTGAAAAAGTTTTACAGTCCTTCCTAACTTATATCTTTAAACATTTGTGCCAAATTTTAGCGAATTTGGTGATGCAGGGTGCAACCCCTTGTTTTTTGAGAAATTGTTACCCAATTGTTACTGTTTCCGGAATGGTTTTCTTTTTGTGTTTGAAAATTTTACTCTCTCAGAGTGAAATGTTTAATATTTACATTCGGTTATCATTTAATGTTTACAATTTTTTTTATTTTCGACAATCACACCACAATCATCTTGATAACATTTTTTGTTGTTTCAAAGGTTTTGAAGATAAAGTCTGGTATAATTTACAACAACTTTTCTAAGAAAATTTTAAACAAACACATTAGAAAGCAAAAAAAAGGAAAAAAATATTTAATGCTGTTTATTTAAGATTTATCTTTAACTGTTTGTAAATGACCTAGATTGTGTCTTGTAAAAAATGTTTTATCTGTTATATAAAAAAATACTTTACAAATACTACATGTTTTTTTTTCAATGGGACGGAATTGTGGACAGTTCGATAGGTTGTGCATTTTTGGTTCAAAATTTATCTGTCTCAATTCATATCACTTATAAGTTTACTTAGCCTAGTGACACGAAGCTAAGTTAGCCCAATATAAATAAAGTTACCAACCACGTGAAGGCAATTTTATTAAATTTTCTAACTATTTGAATCAAGTATTTATTAAAACCAACATTGAAAAAAAAAATTATTTTGCATAGGAGGCTTGAACATAGACTGTTTAAAATACAATGAACTCAAAAACCTTCTTTGATAATTTATTTCAGCACGGTATACTTCTATTAATAAAAAAACCCACACGAGTCACTTCAATTTCAATTACTACCATAGATAATATACTAACAAACTTATTTCTAGATGCATCTCATAAAACAGGAATTTTTTAAAACAGACATATCAGATCACTTCCCGATTTTTTTCACTTGCACAATAATCAACCTCTTTAAACAATGCAAAAACTAATACATATAAAAGAAAAATTAACGAGTCTTCTCTTTGCAAATTTAAAGAATCTTTATCGAAAATAAATTGGTCTACTGTTTATGTTCAATGCAACGAGAGCTTATAAATACTGCCTATAACATATTTATTACCATTTTCCTTGAACAATACAATAAACACTTTCCACTTACAGAAAAAGAAACAAAAATTAAATATTTTAAATGTTCATGGATTAGAAAAGGAATATAAATATCCTCTAAAAAAAAAAAAAATTATAGAATAGAATAGAATAGAATAGAAAAGGTGCTGTACACACTTGAGGTGTGTAGAGTCTTAATTACGTAGAATTAAGACTATGACAGCCGATTACAAAAATTAGTGTTCAGAAACCGAAATAAATATCGATACTGTTTTTAAAAATGTTCAAATTATCTTTATCTAATATCCATTGTGGAAGAGAATTCCAATCATTTATAACTCTGTTTGTAAAGAAATGGTGACGAATTCTTGATTTTGTAAATTGTCTGCGTATTCTACAATTGTTACTTCTACTAGATCACTATACCACATGTATTTAAAAAATAGGAATCAAAAAAATTTCACGATCTATAAACAATAAAAAAATCTTTTTGAAAAAATCTAAAAAGTTGTATTTTTGTATGCCTCCTTCCTTACCGCGAGGCGAAATATGTCCAAAGCTCGTTATGAACCTGGATCTCCTGCTTATAAAGCAAGCGCTCTAACCACTGCGCCACGGTCGCACTTTAACCAATTACAGATCTATCCAGTATTCTCCAAACTTCTTGAACGAATAATCTACAATAGACTCAATAAATATCTAACAGAAAAAAAAATTTAAGTGAATATCAGTACGGTTTTCTAACGAATCATTCAACGGAGTATGCAACGGAGCATGCAATAATAGACCTCATGAACAACATCAGCTCATCTTTTGATATAGGACAGTCTTGATATTGGGAGTCTTTATTGACCTTACAAAAGCTTTCGATACGGTTGACCATAAAAGTCTTATTGGAGAAATGAAAAAATATGGTATAAAAAACAAAACTATTAAATGTATAAAAAACAAAACTATTAAATTAAAAAACAAAACTATTAAATAAAAAATGGTTCACCAGTTATTTAAATAATAAGCAACAACGTGTCATAATCGACGATATTTCTTATTCAAAGCTATTAAAAATAAAATATGGTGTTCCACAGGATCAATTATTCTATCGACAACTTAAAACATGGTTCAGTGTTAATTAGTTATCAATCAACGTACAAAAAGCTAAATATATTTTATTTCATTGAAAGCAACAAAAAAAGGCACTTACATCAATTTTTCCCTCTCTAAGTATCAATTTCAACAAAAGAAAAGTTTCAAAAAAAGGATTTTATGTATCTAAAAAACATTAATAATTAATAATATTTAAAATATTTGTGCATAAGAATCACAATGTTTATGTTTATTTTACGTAATACCCCAAGGTTCACGACAATAAGACTTATTCAGTCTTCTTTGAGTTCCCAATAACAATATAATCTTAACCCTTTAAGGACCGAATTATGAAATTGACTTTAAAAAATTATTTAATAATATTTTCACAACAGTTATGCGTCAAATTATTAGAAAATATAAAGTTTTTTTTTGCTGACGTCAGCAAGTTCCTAAAAACAATTGTTGCCATTTGGCAACATTGGCCTTCCATAGTAAAATACATTTAAAATTTTTTTTTTTTTTTCAATATATTACTTTTTCATAATTGTATATAGAATACCATAATGATGAAAAACCTTCATTATATCATTAACATAATTAGAGAACACCTCTAAGATTAAGCTTATAGCATGATAGGTTTGACTATGCAGAGGCAGTACCGATATAGTTTATAAGCAAAAAAAGTAAAATTTAGTGAATTTATAGTAACCAAATTAAAACATATTGCATATACATATTAGAAAAACACAAAAATAGCAAAAATATTGCTGGCTACATACATTATTTCTAATAAATAATAGGTAATGTAATTTTACCACTCTAAATTCACGAAGAAGTTATTTTTTGTGAAACCCATAGAAACAATTTTTGTTCTGAGTCAGGCAAAGAGCTATTTTGCATTTTGTACAATATACCCGACTAAATCCAGTCTTGCAGAATCGACATCTGTTTTTTGATTCTTTACACTTTGGCCAATGATCTATGCTATCATAACAAACGTCCACACAAGGGTTTGGTACTAAAGGTTTACAACCACGTTTACTTGTACTTTCATCAGCATCAATCATTCTCTTTGATGGTCTGCCAACTAAACTTGAAAGTAATTCTTTTCCAACAGATATAAGAGCTTCAGCAACACTGGAAATAAATTTTAACAGTGAATACTGACTTTTTTGGGGTAAATTTAATTGGCTAGCATAACGACGATAAAGAAGCCATCCATTAACTTTACTAATATCTACACAATGAAATATCACCTTCAAATACCACCTCTTTGTTTTTATTGGGGTGCGATAAAGGGATATTAGCATGTCAGCTAAGTCAACTCCTCCCATAGACTTGTTATACTCCTTTACAATTTCAGGACAGGAAACACTGACATAGGATTTATTTTTTCGATTCCACCTTTTGACATTTGATAACGAAATGAGGGAAGAGAATGTAGAAACTAGTTGAACACATTTGTTGTCAAACCATCTCACCAAAACCAACCCTTAATTGACATCTGTGAAATAGCAACTGCTGCCACGCCCTTTTTTTTTTAATTCTTTCTCTGTTGAGAGTGGACAATTTTTTATTCTGTTTGATCTAATTGTTGCTGTGGTTAAAATTCCATCAATTTTTAGCTTCAAACACAGATCCAAAGATGTAAACCAATTGTCAAAAAACAGTTTATGATTAACATTTTTTGGAAGCGTTTCGCAAAGCTTTCTTACAACATATTCCCTATTACATTTTATATTTCCACATGCTCCAGAATACAAAAAAAAATCATACATCATACCAGATGCACCAGCTCTAACAAAATTTTTAAACCCCATTTTATTGACTTGTTTGCATTGTATTGACGTATGCCACTAAATTTGGTTTTAGCAGGAATTATTTGTTCATCTATACTCGGTTTTTCCTCATGTTCAATAAGTATACAATTTTTCCTCACACCATCAAGAATTGGTTGCACCTTAAACAGTTTATTGTTTTTATTAGCAACATCAT